CCCAATTTTACAAGCAACGAACAACCAAAGTTGCCGATCGTTTTCGAAAACGTGGAAACATATGATAAACTAACTGATTTAACGCGATAAATCTTGCGCAAGTCTTCTCGACAAAGAGAAGTTTTCCAAAATTCCATCTCGTGTTTCATCCATTAGCGCTCTCACGTTCGAAACTCAGGTGTTCGAGTTGGAAAATATGCAAATGAGCACAAGACACATCGCAAGAGTAAAAGCAGCATGGTGTGGAAATTGAAGGGGGAACGGGTTGCGTCATATCCTCGTCGCGGCATTGAAAACGAGCAAAAGTACCGCGGGCCATTTAAGGTACTTGTCCCGTCGTGTTCCCGTTTTACGGTAAAGGTTGCGCTCTCGCAACACCTGGTGAAGGTTTCCAGGGTGAACAACGTACGCGGCGTGATCGAAACGTGATCTTTGTATTTTTTTTTTTTTTTTGAAGGTCTTCGCGACAAGGTTGACACGATTCCGTTTTCCTTTTTTTGATTGGGAATTAACGTAAAAAGAAGATCGATTAAATAAATATATCGAAGATGGAGTCGAAAATTTTGTTCGATCGTTATTTAAGGCAAATCGAAACGAAATGAAACTGAGATTGAGAGGTTGACGATTCAGTTTGACGATAGTCTGTTAAATAACGGAGAAGAAAGTCTAAGACAATCTAGTATTTTATATTGGAATGGAAAAAGAGTGTTTGCAGACGAATGATGAAGATACATTAAATTGGTAAATGAACTTTTCTTGTGCTTTTAGATATTCGGTGTCAGGATTAATCTTATGGAACGAAAATTGCTGCATGAAAATTAAATGAAAGTATACAAAATATTCAAATTCAATAATTATTTAAGTTTAGCTCCCTAGAAGAAGATTGTTTCCATAAAAATCTCTATCTATTTTAAATTGAAATATGCTATTGTAAGATTTGAGAAATCAAAAAAATTGAATTTTTCTTTGCCACTTTGCAAAGACAAAGTGAAACTTCCAGTTCACTTCTAGTTCTCTCGAGTTTCGAGTTATATATTTGACGAAGCTTCGATTAAACTTTAACTTTTCATTTCCTGACTGGATATTTCATCGATAAAAATGAAACACAGACTTTTTGAATCTTATGAAATATATATCTAAATTAACAATTTCTCCAATAATTCTCTTCTCTCTTTGGAAAATAATCAATCCACTGAAATAAAACCGACGATCTGTCGAAACTCTCGTGAATTTATTCGAATTATAAAAGAAGTATATACCAAAATTCAACCACGATCGAACGCGCCTTACCCTTACACGTCATCTTAAGTTCCCGATACACACTCCTTGTGTGGAGAAGTTACACGCGTTTCACCCCTAATTTATACCGATGGCGAAATTCAGACAGCCCCCGTTCCTCGAAAGATCGCAGAGACACAACGAAGAGAATAAGTAATGGATGTAAATACAACGAGAAATCCCTACGGGCGGTGACGTTCCCCGGGATCGATATGCAGATACCCGATTCTCATAAATATTAATCAAAGCTTCTGTACATTCCGGCCCATCTCGATTTTCCACTCGGTCGTTTCTTTATTATTACCTTTATTGTCGTATCTTGCCATCTCCTCTCTCTCTCTCTTTCTTCTCATCGATTAACATGGAGGAAATTGAAAAAGAAAAAAAAAAAAAAAAGGAAAAGAAGAGACGTAATGTTGCATCTTATCGCGCGGAGGAAGTGTCGACCGAGATTCCACTTCCGAGCATATCGATTTTTCGGTGACACGTAGCTGGAGAGGAGCCGTGACACCGGTAAATTCTAATAAATATTTATCGCCCTGTAAAGCGGCATGCAAATACGCACATGCACGGTGGAATCTCGATTATCGAAATACGTGTTAACTTCCGGTTATCTGAACATTCGACAACGTGAAATCCCGAGGATTTCTTTCGTTTCGATCAAGTTTACACTCGAGGGAAGATTGATTGGTAATTAAAGTGGATGAAATAATGATGAGTAAGTTGAATGAGGGTATATTTGATCGAATAGGCTGGGGATTAATTAAATGGTATTCTGATATTGATGGATGTCGAAGGTGAAATGTGTTTGGAGGACGCAAAAAAAAAAAGAAAATATATATATATGAATCGATTGAGGTTCATTTGTTGAATATCATGAGCAATCGGATTAGATGAGAGGAGAGAGGGTGGTTCAAATATTTCAATTGCTTGCAATTTGATAAAATAATTATTTTAATCTTTTTAAAATTGATCTCCTCAAAGATGTTCCACGAACGTTGATATTAATATATTTTATTATATTACTGTCTACGAGCAAATTCCAATTGATTATTATCACGATTTAAAATTGAGAATAGTGAAAACATTTCTGAGAAGGTTTTGAACAAGCAAGAGCGAAGATGTGAACATGTTTAATCCTCATTCATCTCGGGTATATAATTAATCTGAGGACGATGATGAGCGAAGTCGAGGGATAAAAATAAATGTACTCTTATATAAAATACAGTTTTGTATATAATGTAAACTAGATTAAGAAATAATGCACAGCCTGAAAGGAATTTTAAATTTATATAAGTGCATTGACCCACTTCCACATTTATATAGACGCGCCATGAATTTTATTATAATTTTAAATTTTATTACAATCTCTTTCACTCGAGAAAAGTGCATTCGATTAACTTTCTGTACGGGATTTTAAATTTTCCTCTTTTTATAAAAAGTAAAATTATATAATCCCCTGTTAATATTTTTATTGGCGTTAATACGATGAGAAATTATTATTATTAATAATAATAATATCGTAACAGATTATCGATTATTATTATGACAAGTTTAATTTATAAAAAAGGAATTAAAAGATCAGGTTAAAAATCAAAAGCAAGAGGAATTGCGATTTTCATATTAAATAATAATAAACGAATAAGATTAAAGGGCAATTATATACGTAGATCGAATAAATTCAATTTGCAACTACTCATTGTAAATGCAATTCAACCAATTTCATTTTCTCGCCAAAACAATAAAACTAATCTAAGAAAGGGACAGGAAGACATTTGAATATAAGAACAAAAATAAGAGAATCTATACATAAAACCTGTACATAAAACTAAAAGTAAGAAACACGCAATAAGAGTGGCACAAAGCCATCCAATAAAGAACGAGAAAGACGTCACACGACTCGTAAACGAACGAGACGTACCCAACAGGAGGACGTTTCGCGACGTTTATCAGTTCGAACTTGACGACCAGATAAAACGAGCAAACGCGTCGACGCGAGGATATATATACCGGGTGGGTAGTAAATAAAAGCATATCCGTGTCGTACTTCAGCGTAGAACACATGGGAAGAAATACTATTTAACCGAGGATAGAATTTCACATAGATTGGATTAAAAGATTACATATTACAAGGATTATAAAAATATTGTATTAAAAGTGCTGTTAAAATTTAATCTGATTTAATCTAGAGAGATTAACGAAGAAAGAAGAAAAATAGAGAAAATCATCTGTTCATTTGTATTGTTATTTTTATTATAAACAAAAGAACAAACTAATAATTTTTTAAGTACCACCAAATTTTATCAACTTCCAAGTACCATTTTTAATTTGTATTTCTATAATCTTATTAACAATTCATGCGATTTCATCATGATCTTAAAATATCGATACGTATTTACAAATCATCTATATATATAAAAAGAAAAAAAAGATTGGAAGAAAGAAGTAAACATTCTCTAACACTATCTTTTTTAATTTATATTTTCACGATCTTTGTGATTTCATCATCAATTGAACAGTGTTCTTAAAGCACCGATACGCACTTACGAATCACCCTGTATAGAAAAAAAATAGAGAAGCAAAGTTGGAAGGAAGAAACGAAATTTCATTTTCTCGCCAAAACAATAAAACTAATCTAAGAAAGGGACAGGAAGACATTTGAATATAAGAACAAAAATAAGAGAATCTATACATAAAACCTGTACATAAAACTAAAAGTAAGAAACACGCAATAAGAGTGGCACAAAGCCATCCAATAAAGAACGAGAAAGACGTCACACGACTCGTAAACGAACGAGACGTACCCAACAGGAGGACGTTTCGCGACGTTTATCAGTTCGAACTTGACGACCAGATAAAACGAGCAAACGCGTCGACGCGAGGATATATATACCGGGTGGGTAGTAAATAAAAGCATATCCGTGTCGTACTTCAGCGTAGAACACATGGGAAGAAATACTATTTAACCGAGGATAGAATTTCACATAGATTGGATTAAAAGATTACATATTACAAGGATTATAAAAATATTGTATTAAAAGTGCTGTTAAAATTTAATCTGATTTAATCTAGAGAGATTAACGAAGAAAGAAAGAAAAATAGAGAAAATCATCTGTTCATTTGTATTGTTATTTTTATTATAAACAAAAGAACAAACTAATAATTTTTAAGTACCACCAAATTTTATCAACTTCCAAGTACCATTTTTAATTTGTATTTCTATAATCTTATTAACAATTCATGCGATTTCATCATGATCTTAAAATATCGATACGTATTTACAAATCATCTATATATATAAAAAGAAAAAAAGATTGGAAGAAAGAAGTAAACATTCTCTAACACTATCTTTTTTAATTTATATTTTCACGATCTTTGTGATTTCATCATCAATTGAACAGTGTTCTTAAAGCACCGATACGCACTTACGAATCACCCTGTATAGAAAAAAAATAGAGAAGCAAAGTTGGAAGGAAGAAACGAAACAAAAGAAACGTTCCACAAAGACACGATCTTTTTTAATTATATTTTCATGACACGTATTTCATTATCGATTGAACAGTGTTCTTAAAATATCGATACTTACGAATCATTCTATATAAAAAAAAAAAAATAAAAGAAGTAAGATTGAAAGTCACATTCCAGAAAGACTTTTTTTAATTCATATTTTCGTGATCTTCGTGACACGTATCTCCCGATTTCATCATCAATTAAAGTACGCACTTACGAATCACCCTGTATAAAAAGAAGAAAGATAGAGAAGGAAGAAGTCACCGGTGAACATTCCACGAAGGCACGGCTCATCCAGAGCAGAATCGTTCCCACGGTTCGCGAATCCGCTTGGAACACCACGCCGCTCCTCCTCCAATCGCGTTTCCACTTCCGTTCATCTTAGTAATTATTCATTGATGCGGAAACACAATTTAAAAGCGCGACACTTTCCTCTCCGCTCGAAAAGGGGGGAACGGATTAGGCTGTAAATCGTTTAGCCGATGAATGGAGGCACGGTGTCGGGTACGTTGATTGGTGTTTATCAATTCACGTGTCACGATTTTGGTTAGCGGGTCTGGGACAATGATAAACGTATATTCTTTCATGGATTGTTATTATTATTATAGTTGGTGGTGATGATAACCTTGGTCATGCATTGACGGGTATGGTAGGAGATGGTAGAAGAACGTTCTGTGACATGCGTGATGCAAACGATGTGGAATGGATGATATAATTGCACAGATAATGATATCTTGTGTTACAATGTTCGTACATCGTGATGCGTAAGAGATTATTGGTACGTATATTCATTTCTATTGATAAATTTATTGTTTTTCCTTTATATCTGATTTATTCAACGTAGACAATTATTCCTAAGTTGAATAATATTTGCAAAAATATTTATAAATAGCGATCAACTGTTTTCTTTGTCTTTCAGAATTCCATATTTTCCTTCAATCTCCATTATTTTATTTTTCAAAATTACTTTGCAAATCCGTCAATTAACACATAATCTAATTTTCTAATAATTTTCAATCGATAAATTTTACAGAAACTGTAAGAAGGAAGATATAAAATAAAAAATAAATAAGACTACATATTTCTTAATGTTTGACCACTACAATCGCAATAACAAAAAGCATTTATTGTGCATAAAAGTAGCTTATTGTGATTAAACTGTGTTTGAATATTTACGATATAAATAATCAATTCGATCGAGATATAGAGTAATAATTTCTGATGTATAAATGATGGCCGAATATCAATGCAAATCATTGTACTATAAAGAGGAAAGATGAACATGAATTCGATTGACAGATTTGAATATAGGATCGTTCGTGATAAATACATTCATTCATTCATCGTTGTTATTATTAACCTTATCTATATCGAAGATAATAGAAGAATACTTTGTGAAAAAATTATAAGTGTGAATTTTTTGAAAACTAAAAATTTCTATTACGATTTAATTAATTTTAATCATTTCCAACTTATTATTGTTATTTCCATTTTTTTTAATTGGCCAAAAGAAGATCGTGACGTAGATAAATAAGTTCCCTTTGTATGAAATGTTTTTACTTTCAGAAGGAAATAAGAATCTATGGAAAATGAAGAGATTAAAAAGTCAGGTAAAAGGATTTTAATGTGTATCTGAAACTGGATGGAAGTACTGGATGGAAATATAGAAGTTTAATTTAAGGAAAAGTGAGAATAAGAAGTAATAAAAGGAAGACATTAAAGTCAAATCGAAGAAAAGGAAAATTGCAACGCAACAGGGCAAATAAATGAATTTCTTTTCCGCGAAGTTTAATTTCTTGCAAAACAGAAATAGGTAATAGGAAAAATAAATAATTAAAAAGTCGAAGAAGGTAAAAGATTGTACCGTAAAAGATGGGGGAGTAAAGTTAGTAAAGTAAATGAATCGAGACGAGAAAAGTAAGTTGGAAATATGGAATAATATCTTTTCATACAAAGATTATTTTTCTAGAAAATAATAATGAAACATAAGAAAATAAAGGAAATTAAATTCAGATATCCAGTCACGAAAAATCTAATATAATATTCTATTCTTCTTATTTTTTCAACCTAGTTTACATAATGAATTGAAAAAATATTCCTTCTTCATTATGGATACCTAGAACTGTTACACGATTTTTTAATAAAATTTTCTAAAAAGACATATCACAATCATACCTTCTATCTAATTTGCATAAAATAATTATCAAATATTTGTTATAAAATAAAAGTAATAGTAGATAGAAATCTATTAATATGCAATAAAGATATCAGTTTATCTGAAAGCTTTTATTATATTCATTATCTTCATCTTTCCAATTTTGCACAAACGGAAAATCTGATAGGAAATAAATTGTTTTACTTTTGTGAAATAAATCAACTTAAAATCAATTGTAAGTATTACAAACGAAACAATCAAGGTATAAAGTTGTGAATAGATTTTATATCTCAATTACACAGACATAAATCACGTTTGTTTCATAAATATACACGCATAAAGATTTAAATCAGACATTCCATATCGTAGATTTATTTCTGATATTGCAACAACTGATAATCGTACGATGACAAGATATATTTAAAGTGAAAAGTATTTTTCAATTATTTTCATATTCTAAAAATTACTAAAAAGCATCTTGATTAGAGAAATAAATTCTAAATAAAATCAATTATCCTTTGAACAAATATATCTATAATTGATTCCAATAATGATAAATTCACAATACATTTTCGTATTTGTTATCATAATTAAAAATATTCCCTATTCTAGTTTATCGAAGAAAAAACTTTTGGTAATAATTTTTACTTTGGTAATAACAGATATATATATATGCACACTGTAAAATATAACAAACCATTATTATAATTTCCAAATTTTTTCCATATAATAGTTTTTCAAAACGAACATTATTTGCATAAATAATTTTTCCAACTTTTTTTTTATTAATTAAAATATAATTTCAATTTAAAAGAGTAGCAAGATTGGTAATCCCGTTGCTCTCAGGCAATTACCAGTTCCATCGAAGGGAATGCAATTTAAGGACGCGTTTTTCTCGTAATCCAGGGACAAAGATGCGCTATTTGCTGGAGCAAATAGAAATGGAAAAAGTAGACGAAGCAGTCGTAGTACATTTATCAGCAGAGTCACATTTACGATGCCCAGAAGTCTGAAACTCGATTGACGAGAAACAAAGTGGTGGCGATTCTTATATCCACCTCTTCCTTTTTTCGTTTTCGCCACCTCCTCTCGCAATTTCATCCCACTTCTCACACGTTTTTAATATCTTAGTCTCCATCAACTTCCTCGTATCTTCTCACTGTCATCCTTTCTACAATCTTTCGTAATCTCGTAATCTACTTTCTACGATTGTGTCCACCCACGTCTCTTGTTCTTCTTCTCATCTCTTCATTTCTTCCCGTATTTTTTATTCCGAATTTTTTTTATTTTAAGAAAAAGAATTATATTATTGTCGTCCTTTTGGAAATTTTTCTGTGCTTTTAACAATTGATAATTTCTGATCTTTTCTTGTTTTCGTGTTTTTGATTTTCCCAATCAAAATTTCTACTATTTTTTTTAAATCTTCCTTCTATCATTACTCCCAATATTTTTCTTCCACTTTTCTTTCCCACTCGATATTCCACTCGTTTTCTTCGCCATCGACTCGTTCTAAAATTTCGCCCCGTTTAACTCTTCCACCAATTTTTCTCTCCAACGTCTCTTTATTCTCCCTTTTACTCGATTCCCAATATTCTACAATATTCCGTTTATATTTTATACGTTTCTGATACTCTTTTTCTTACTTTCCCTTATCTACACGATCCCAGTTCCATTATTTCGACGATATATTTTCCACCATTCCTTCCTTTTTTTTTACTTTATATTTCCCGCCTTTCGCGGGAAATCCTTCCCCAATTTCATTTCTTATCTTCTTTTTCCTTCATTTCTATCCCTTTCTCTCTTTCCACTCGATGTTCTCTCTTAATTTCTCCTCCTCTCTCTCTCTCTCTCCCTTATACGTAATATTGTTTATTCTCTCCCGTTCACCAGATCCACTTGTAACCCATTGAAACAACCACGACACGATGAGAGAGCAGTGACACACACGAGTTTAAATCGAATCTTTCCCTACGGATGTGGCGAGCAAGATACGTGGTATCGATCGAATTGCGAGGAGGGGACGATACGATCGAGACAAATAACATAGAATTGTACGTGTATTTAAAATTCTTCGCGCCTCGAGCGAAGTGGGTAGAGATAAAGGAAATTATCGCGGAACGAGCGAAGGCGATGGAAATTAGATCGATATCGTGTAGATGGATGCGTGAAATTTATTTCTGTGACACGTGTTTTTTCTTCCTCCCCAATATTTTCCACAAATTTAATATATTTAACGCATAGTGTTATAAAATATTTTTGGATTAAAATGCATCGTTCAGTTATTGTTGGACTCTTTCAAGAAATGAAACAACAATTTGTCTTATGTTACTTTATATACGTACGTAGAATTTCAATACTTTCGTGGAACATTTTTGGAGAATAAAAAATTTAAAATATGATAATAATAAAGTACTTGTAATTTATTAAATTTGTTTCGCTTTTTCTTGAGCAATAAAATCTAGATGTGTAATTATCGACGAGTGATATCGTTGCGGAATTAATTAAATGAAAAAATGTCCTTGTATTAACTCGCTTCCGTTTTGTGAATCCACTTGTGTCCCATCGAGAACTGGCGGAGGGGAATCTTGCCACGCAAAAGATAATGATGAAACAAGAGGGTGACATTTGGCTAAACGAAAGTATCTGAATGCTATTATTTTATAAAGAAATTCGTTTGATTGGAAAATTTCAATGAAAGTTGTATTTGCAATTTCATGATTCCCAAAATTTCAGAATTGTTCAAAATTCTGTTTAATAAGAAATTTCGATAAAAAATTAATAAATTTCATTAACAAGTAAAAATATGTTTAAATTTACTTTCCACAAAAATTTCAACGACTCGAATTTTTTTTCGAGAGAGATATGCATGCACAAAGTTCTCTTTAATTTCCACGTAACATGTTTACTTTCCAACTTACGTTTCAAACAATTCAAAGGAATGAATTAAAATTTCTTTCCCCTCAAAGAATATTTCATCATCCGCTTGATAATTGAAATATCATGATTGAAAAAAAAAAAAAGGAACATCTATAACTCACGAATTATATACCATCATTTCTTTTTTGTCATCCCACAGCCTCGACTGTTCCAAGAAGAAGATTTCTTGAAGTGGATGGACCGTAAATAATAACGTTTCACTTGAAAGCCACGATTCGTGCCACGCTGTTAAAACGTATCGGGGCGTAACCGAATCCTGCAGCCAGTTTCGATGAGATTACACCATGGTACACCGTTTTCATTGATTAAAAAGAAAAAAGGAAGAAGAAGAAAAAAGAAAAAAAAAAAACACGAGATGCATTGTTAATCCGGTAACAAGATTGAAATCGATCGAGATAAAGCAAACATCCCGAGCCGTTTCATTCCGTGTGCGCATTAAAAAGAAGAAAGGGAGGGGAGAAAAACGAGAAAAATACCAATATTTACGTATAACATTCATGTTGCGACGACGATTGTCAATTTATAAAACGATTACATCTTTTTGCAATAAATTTTTCTCGATCGATCGATATTTTCATTTAAATATGAAACAGAATGGGAGGTTCGATCAAATGTTATGAACACGCCAATGCCAATTGCACACAGTATCTTCTTTTTCAAATGCGTACCCATCCTCAAACAAATCCGCCGTTGTGTTTTGTCGCAACGTATATAAGACTGCAAACATGCTCATATTCGACTAATATTTGCCCCGGGCAAATAAAAAACTCAGCATTTCCGATACGTCTTCTTTGTAACACGGATAAAGCGAGACAAGGTATCTCTGCCACGTCGATTTTATATGAAACGCGATACGAAATATTTAATTTTCATTGTAAACGTTGGAATCGACGAAGCGTACAGTCGAACGCTCTGGATTTAATTTGAAGAGGGAGAACGATGTAATGTGTGTTTTACATTAAGAACGAGATAAATACAACGAAAAGGAGGATGTAAAAATTTGTATTATAAATTATTTTGTCACTTTTTTTACAGTAGAGAAAATTAAATTTCTATTCTATTCCGATCGAAACTGGAAAAGGTTTAAATATTTCTTCTTTGCCGATTTCTTCACAAACACCGTGCGTACAATTTTAATTTTCGTTTGATTCAAACGAATGATTTCGCAAGATATGAAAACAATGGCCAGATACATTTACTCTTTTCAGATATTTCAAAATGTTTTTCGACATCGTCCGTTTAATATTTATGATATAACTTTTTTCTCTTAGCTTCAATAAATTCGTCGAATTTAAAAATTTCATCACCCGTGCAACATTTTCTCCGATTTCCTCAATCGTTTTCTCATGAAAGATCACAAACGCGAATAACAGAATTTCAGTTTCACTTTTTAAAGGAAAAGAAAAATGGCACGCAATAGGTGTAAAATTGCACGATAAATTTAGAAATACCACCATTTTACACTATCTTCCAATCTATGGAATTGATCGAAGTAACTTCTCTTCATTTTTTCACGTGAAATATCTTTCGAAGCAATATCTTCTTCCAAGAACTTTTTAAAAGGAAGCTTCAATCCGTTAACGCTATAATAAAACTTCAAAAATTATTATTACTTCGATTCTTTTAAAATATGAAAATGTATAA